TATATATATATATATATATATATATATATATATATATGTATATATATATATGTAAAAGGACTTGGATTAGAAAGCGACCACCAAGCCACATGTTACTGCTCGACGGGGATTATCTGCTAATTCAATGGTTATATTTCTTTGCTTTTTTTTTCTATTTTATTACTTTTAAAAAATATTCTTTTTTTATATTTTTCTATTATCAAGAGAGAGACACGTCCTTTTCATTTTCATTATATAATTGTGATACATGATAAGTATTAAATGCAATGAATATTACAAACTGTATTATTGAATCATAATTATTTTGAGCAAATCGTTTTTAAAAAGAATCGTTGTGTAAAATAATCTAATTAGAAATTATCATTTAAGAGGTACACAAAATTAGAGATAATAATTTAAAAACTAAAAGATGAGAAAGAAATAAAAGCGAGAGCAATTTCATGATAGATAATTAAATGAAATCACGTTAAATAAAATCGAATATAAATTCGCGCGAGTGTGATACTTCAACGATTTACTTTTGAAATCGTTTTTTCGGTACATCTCTATAACGAATTAATATTTTTTTTTTCTTCACTTTCTATTAATCTCAAATGCTTATATATTTTTATACAATTATCTGTAGTATATTATATATATATACACAAAACTAAAATAAAAAAAAGAAGCAAGCGATATTTTACTTGTATTTGCCTGTCGCAATTGTAAAAAGAAAAGAAAAGGAAAGAAAGAATAAGAGAACAATAAAAATTAAAATTCAATTTTATCCGTAACACAATCAATTCAAGTATACACATATACGTGTGTAATTTATATATATATATATATATATAAAAAAGAAAAGAAATTTGAACACGTGTGTAACAAAAATAAAATTTTCCGTCAGAGTTTGAAATCATTTTCTTCGATATATAAAATTTGTCTACCAGAATAGTTATTTATAAATGAGACCCTGTCGAGATATGTAATATTACGCGGCTTAATCGAACAATTATCATGCTCGATACTGTCACATAGAAGAAAAAGAAGATGAAGAAAATAATACTGAGAACTTTTAAAAACTAATCATCTTAATGTAAACTTGAGAGAGAGAAAAGTGTGTCGATGAGGAAAACAAAAAACACAGATGAAATAAAAGGAAACCAAAAATGGAAAGAAAAAACACAATTGTCTATTTATACATGATCATCTTTAAAGAAAATACATATTGTATAATGAGAAAGTGAAACCAACAAAGTTGATTAATATATTTGAAATTTCATGTTTTTTCTATTGCAAAAAGGTAGAACGTAAAGGTTGTGTGTGTATGGGAATATATGGGGATGATTGCAACAAAACAAAAAAAGAAAGAAAGAGAAAAAAAAGAAAACAAGGGGTAACAAAAAAAAAGGAAAAAAGTAACAAGTAAATAATTAAATGACGAATGCAAGTAAATACATTGTTGTATCTTTATTGTTGTTATTGCATGAGACTAGTATAATAGACTGAGCCATACTCCCATGGTTAAAATTAACTATTAAACAAACGTAATACTTCTTAAATTAATCCTATATTATTGTGTAATTATTACATAATGTATATTATATTTAATTGTAATGTTTTCGTGCGAGCAGTGTTGTTTGGAAGCGGGTTCCTGTCCTTTGGGATTAGGTTTATAAATTAATTTTTTTTATTATTTTATTTTATTTTATTATTTTTTCAATGGTACCTTATTTTTCATTTTCTTGTCCAAACTATTCTTGTCACCTTATTGTTTGTTCTTCTTTTGGACAGTAAAGATGATTATTACTCGACACGAGCTATATACGGTTTAAAGTATGTTCGTATATTTAGTAGAATTCTTTTTTCTTTTATCTAAATATATTAATATATGTACAAACAGACACAAAGGGGAGAAATAAATCATTAAACGCACGAGTTGCGTTGTTAATATATTTAGATATTAATTTCGTTATTGTGTGTATCGATTAATTAGATTTATTTTTAATATTATTATTATTATTATTAATAACATCATTATTTCCTGCTCGAGTAATTCTTCTTTTTATTTTCCTAATGCAAAGTTATATCTTACTCGAGGACGAGAACATNTTTAACATTATTATTATTATTATTATTTTTAACATTATTATTATTATTATTATTATTATTATTATTATTATTATTATTACAATTATAATTATTATCATAATAGCTTTGATGAGTTTTTATTAAATATGATTAGCTGTCCGTTCCAATCGAGAAGTTTTACGACATGCTAAAATAGAATTATTTAAAAACATGAACGCGCGATAATTGATAAAGTTAAATAATAATAATATAACAGAAATAATAACAACAACAACAACAACAATAATAATAATAATAATAAAAATAATAGTAGTATTAAAGTTAAAATAAAATCGTGCTCC